TTCCTTCCTTCCTTCCTCCCTTCCTTCCTTCCTTCCTTCCTTCCTTCCTTCCTTCCTTCTCTGCAGGAAAGCAGAGGCTGGCCCTCCCTTCAGACTGACTGACCTGTTAACAGCATTAGTTCCATGATGCTTTTGGAGAATCCAGACCCACGGCATCTCCATCCAAGTTTAAACCACCTCTGCAAAAGGACGAAGGAGGTGCTCACCCCCTTCCTGAAATATAAAGCTGCCGCCTAACAGGATTATTTAGACTGGCTAATTCACCGTTTAGAAATTCGGCACAGCATTATCTTTTGGCTTTTGAAACATTGGGTGAATCACTTAATCGGGAGAGAATCTGAATCTATCAACCTCTGCCTGAATCCCAGGTGGTGGAGAAAGGATTCTCTGGAATCTCACAGTCCTGGGGTTTGGATCAATTGCCCACCCCTTTCCTCCTCTTTATTCCTTTGTGCTGTTTTTCTACCCATCTGTTGGCATGCTTGCTTTTTTTTCCCCCCTAGCTCCAGGGAAGGAAGCTAGAAGGAATCTGGGATTTCCAGCTATGTATTGTCATCCCGTGATCCATGTTTGGAGCACACAGATATCTTTATTTTAATGTTTTTGCTCAGGGGAAGCCATAGCGCTTTCACAAGTACTTCTGCTCATTGGGCCTCCACAATCCCCATGAGAAGAAGAGAAGACAATCAGAATTTGTGTCCCTGGAGAACTCAACTGGCTCCAGGTCTCTGAGACACCAGCAGCTCTTCCAGGAAGGAGAATCTGTCCTGGATGGTCAAGCACAAGAAATTGAAGGCTGGCTTGGTAGGTAAGATGGACTGTCCTTTGCAGGAGCCAAGTCTGACTGTGGATGTTGCAAGTTTCTGACAACACAAAAGCAAAATCTTTCTCTTAATTGATGGCCAATATTAAACTTGATAATTGTTTCCATGCTAGAGCCTGACGGATGACTTGAACCAGTTGCTGGGTGCCAATACTCTTGCGTCAGAGGACTTGTGTAACTCCTCTGATTACATCAGGAACACACAGCCCAAATTTGCCCGTAGGTTTTTTTCTTTTTTTCCAGGTTGGTTGGTTTGTTTTTAGATAATATGAAGCAAAATAGATATGTTATCTTTCTGATATATGTAACACATTTTATTGTTTTTTAAACAAAAGATTTCTTAACAAGTGGAAGGGGAAGAAGGAATAACCTTGAGGAACAGGAGGAAGAGCATCAATGCTCAGAGAAACCTGAGTCCAGGGCAGAAATGTAATTTGAGAAAACACGTCAGACAAGACCCTCCCTAGTTCTCACAAAGATAAAGGGAGGGAGTGGGGAAGCACATTGAGACTTGCAAGATTTGGTTACCGTAACTTTATGTTAAAAGTAGTATTAGCAGTCATGACTTTGGTTTCCTAGTCTGGTCTACCTTCAAGGGCTGACATCATTCTTGCAAGTCTCAATAATCTTCATAGCAGCTATTCCTCCTGTTCCTTAAGGTTATTCCTTGTGCCCATTACAGAGAGGGATTTACTCCTTCAGTGATATTGCTGCTTCACCCCCCACCCCCCACCACCCCACACCCTTGCAGCTCTTGGAGATGGATTTGCAGCTCCCATCAACCTAAACATTACCCATCTTTGGTCTTCTGACCAGCAAGAATCACTTCTTACCAGCATGGGACTGTCAGGAACACATAATCAAAATAAAACATTCATTGTATGCAATTGCAGTTCTGGCTTGGAGAAGGAGGAGGGAGAGAGGAACTGGTTGCTTAGCTCTGGGAAAATAGAAAGCGTGAGAAAGAGACTCACCTTCAAGACTGAAGTCAG